TCAAGACGGCCGATGGTGATCCTGTGGCAGCGAAACGTCGCTTCGATGTACCGGCATACTGCCGATGCTCCTTTTTGTCTATCCATAATCTATGAAAATGCCTGGAGCGTTGTGCTGAACACTGAAAAGTGAATTAACGGGCCATAATTGTCAGCCTCCTAGTGCACCAATGATCGGCATACTATGTCGGCCGTCCCTTTGGATGCGCCCACTCAAGTAAAAATAGCAAGTTAAATAGTACTGCTGCAATTTCTTTAAGCACGGGGAACTAGGCGGGTTTCCTCCAGCCTTCTTCAAATTCTGGCGATTTGTTCTTGTGGATGATTTACAGTTTACTGGAACTGTAAGAGCAGGAGGCTGTCCTAACCGACTGAAACTACTTCGTTATTGTCCCAATCTCCAAGGCACGTTCACAATTCAACAATCATAGGGGTATCATTGTAATCTCCATCACCTCCAAGTTGTTTTCCTCTGTCGTTCTTCATAGTTTCACTGACATCCGTGAAAGTCTGGTTTGTCAAGGACAACACGGGTTTCGTCGAAATCGAGGTTGCATTGATCACGCCTTCAATTTGCGCCAATCATTGGAGCACCACCACTGGAACACACGGTAGTCGTGTCCTTCGGCAGCAAAGATGCTCTCGATTCTGTGAATCAATGTGCCCTTCAGGACTGGTTAGGAAACGTATGCCCGAGTACTACTTAAATGCTATAAGAGCGCTTTACGCTCGTAGTTCGGACAGAGTGATTGCTTATGGCAAACTGTTGGCGCCCTTCAACTTCTCCAACGGCGTGTGGCTAGGGTACCAACTGTCATCTGTCCGTTGTATCTTCGGTTATGACGAAGTTGTGGGAACTGCGTTCAAGGGACTCGAGTTAGGACATGTTGAGTTGCTTCCAGCTGGTCGACTTCTGGACTAGGTGCATGCCTATAATTCTGCTCCAATCTGTCACAAATTACAGTCTTTCCAAGCAGTGCTGGCCGCCAACGGTTTTGGACTGTTTTGCGCAATCCACATGCAAAGATATGCTCCATTATTGGAGACCGTCCTCTGCGCTGACTCTTATTGGGAATCAGCTAGAACTCATTAAGGAGTTCTACTACTCGAGCAACTGTACTAGCTTCTGTGGAATAAAGGATGAGGTCACAAGTCGTATCGCGGATGCTTGAAGTGGTTTTTATCCATTTGTACCGTTTGTGCCACCGGTGCGACATCACAGTCATCCTGAAGCTTGGGGTCTACAATGCATATGTCCTTTCAATCTTCAATCTTCAATGTGAAACCTGGCCCATCAAATATGTCAATGTGAAGAGACTTGTTGCGCTGACCACCGGTGCCTTCCCAGTCTAGCTCACATCTGGTAGGAAAATGGATTGAGCATTGAATGTGTTTGGTGTCATGTTTATGGAGTAGGAAGTGGAATTGAGCCGACCAACACCATTGATTAGTTCACCCACTGGCTATGTTGACTGGGCCAGTGTCGCGTATGCCAGCACACCGACTCTTTCGATGTATGTTATTTGCGTGATTGCCGTGTGGATGGAAGAAAAGGAGAGGAGGACAACTGATGGCATGGTCGAGATAATCGAAGGCTCTCACCTCAAAAGTGGCATCAGTTGGTGCCTCCGAAACCCATGGTTGGGGTCCTGAAGGCGATGGGGAAGAGCTGGCATATGTGTCATTTGTGTTATGAGTTTCTTTACTCCGCCCAATCCCACTTATCCTTCCTTCCCGACCACGATCTTAGTATCGATGTGTACTATAAAACAAAGCACAACAATCTTTTTCGCTTCTTCTTTTTCTTGTTGTTGTTGTTGGTGGTGGTGGTGGTGTTGGTGTTGTTTCCTTCGTTTTTTTACCACCTGATTGTATTGCACTGCGGTAAGTTAGCTTGGGTGCTTCTTATCGAAACAACTCTTATATGGTCAGCTGAGTACTGGGAAGCGGCACGTGGGGAAACCAAAGTTACGTTACCAGGACATGATCAAAGTAAGTCTCCCGTGTTCTAATCTTGATTACAGGTCATGGGAATCGAAAGTGCTTGATCGGCGCGCATCGCGTGATCCGATCCTGAACGCTGTTGTCGAGGTGCAACAGAAAGCCCTCGTGCATGCAGAGAAGCAGCGGCAATTGCGAGGCGGCAGAAGCCGATGGGTTGTACTCCGTTCGACATCGAGCGCGTGATTCTGTAGCACATGCGATCGCGACTGCCTGAGTCAGGTAGCCTTAGTGAACGACGGGTGAGGGGTATATATATATATATATATATATATATATATATATATATATATATATATATATATATATATATATATATATATAATGGTTCACAGTCTACATCCTTCCAATTTGCTGAGTTTTGCGCACGAAATGGGACCGAACATGTGAGAGCTGCACCGTATCATCCGCAATCAAATGGCTAAGCGGAAAGATTTGTCCAGACTGAAACGAGAATTGCTGAATCTAAATGTGGAGGGGACGTTGGACAAGAGATTGAATTACCGAGTTACTCCGAATCCTATCTCCGTCGCCACGAATCTGGTGTCGACACCCCGCGACTGCTTCCACCCACTAACAGTGGGGAGAACATGAACGAGCGGGGACAATGATCCAAGGCTTTTTACATAGAGAAAACACTTCGTTATATAGCATGACGCACAGGCGTGAAAGCCAACCAGAGTACGGAAAGCGTACGGACAAGTAAAGCCAATAAATGCTGAACAACAAAGGAACCAATCAGGTGTACACAAGGAACGGAAAGTGGGGGTGTTAGCGTCGGAAGGGAAAAGTAGCGACTCCCAATAGCCGATAGGGGTAACGAACTACTACGTTAAAACAAATAGCAGCGGTGCATCAGAGCAAAACGAAAGTCTGCAGCCATGAGCGGTTACACAAATCTTTGAATGCTGCTCTAACACCCTGCCATAACTTATGGATGAAGACATTGCTATACACAAATATTTAGAGAACAGGATGTTTATCAGATGTCCAATACTTATTTCGACTGTTTCCATCTCAGAGCTTACCTTCAAATTGGTTGTGTTTCAACTCGGATGTCATGATTTCCTCACCTCGGCCAGCTTTACATTTGAAGCCTACGTACTTTCAAAGTGGACCACGCGTTTGCCCCCTTGTTGTCTTTTCACCTGGCGTCAGTGCACATCACCCTCCAGGCCAACAAAGCCGCTGAAATGAAATGAAATGAAATGAAATGGCGCCAGGATGAGCCACTATTATTTACATGGTATAGTAATTGTACGCCAGCAATGCTCCGAAGGCATCGTTGTTCAGAACATGCAATCTCTAGACATATTTTGCACTAAGAGGCTATCTCGCAACTACACATCAGCATTGCCCGTATCGTGGTGTCTTAGACTCGGCTAAGGTCACTTTGATCTCGTAGGAAGTTGTTCCGTGGAAGCAAGTGCAACTGCAAACGCCATCTTATGTTCCGCTTTTACTACCTCAATCGGCGGTAGCATTGTTTCTCTGTCAGACCAATCCCACTTCTGTAGACTTCAGAACGTATTGGCTCAGTCTCATTCACAGTTTCAACTCATGGAAAGACAGTTCAAATGACACTTTGTTGCCCACCTGGTGACGCAATTCCTTGCATCGAAAACCGGTACAGCGCTTCATTCCCATTCAATTTAAGCTACCCTTTAAAGTTGTCCTCTTCCCGTGTGGTTATGAGGGATAGGTATTGTACTCATCACTAGACACTGTTATTGTCTATATTTAGAGGAAACCGCTGTGTTCTATACTTGTGTTGCGTTTATTTGTCCTGTCCAGCTACTATTGATTGTCTACACACAGGTTCCAACAGTTGAATGAGATCTGGAGCTGAATTTAGGAGGTGACTGTCGGTTTTGTCCCCACTTACTATATATGGCAACACATGAGTTGAATCTAATCAGAATGTTATGCTTACGGATGTTTACGATGCGGCCTTTATGCTTGCGAAATGGATTGATTGGACTTTCGACAGACCTATGGAAACAGTCAAATACAAATCGCTATCTGAGCATACTTCAGCGGGATTACCTTCTTGAATTCTCACCATTGAAATACATCTGCGCGCATGCTTTTCCGTCCGGCTAGCTTGTGTATTGATCGCGTGGGCTGTCCTACCTGATTCGGAAATCGATCCTCTCCATTTATTCGCACCTAGCTCCGTCAGCTCTTACTGAGTACGCAACAGTTTGTCTCAAGGGATTTGTTATGTACACCGTTTACTTCACCGAACTTGCTGCGTATTCTATCTTTCTAATGCGAATTTTCTTGATTTCGTTTAGCCCGTACGATACTGTGACCTGCTATTCTACAGTTTTGTTCGCTAGCGAGTGCATAATTGGACTGAATACTATCGTTCCGCGGACACTTATGCTTGTCTACGCGCGTGCTGCCACGCGCTGCCGGGCAGTCTTGTATTTCGCGCCTGATGGACTGTTCAATAAAACTTTCGGTTTGCTCAATTACCTTCCGCACTATGAGACACTTCAAGCGTCCCATTTCCTTTTGTTTGTTCGCCAACAATCTTTAGCAGGTTTTCGTGCTGCGCATCATCTGAAGTGAGGCAAGACTTTCACTTCGAAATAATGTCTCATTGCTAGCATTCGTCACGAAAACAGGAGGTTTGTTCGGAAAACCTCCTACTATAGTCGATCTAGAAAAGCCTGCACGCACCAAGGAATACCCATACAGTACAGCTGTTGGGTGTATAACACTAACAACACTAACAACAACGCTCCTCGGGGCACTGTGCTCCGCTTGATCTCATCACATTGGTTAATCAGGAAGAATCGTATTTATCGAAAACCCCCTCATTGGCGGTGCCATGATGTTGCTCTCGATTTACCGAGGACTTCTTCAGTAGTAGTTGTCTGCTCACCAGTGTTCGCTTTCAGTTTCTTCTCACTTCGATTAATGCTGGTTGATTGAAATCCTCATCGAGGTTCTCATGGGGAAATTTCCGGTCTTGCTTCCCTTTTGCTTCAGGTGCGCATGTTCATCGCAATCTTTCACGATGCTGTCACTCTCTACGCAAGTGCTTTGGAAGATGCGTTACAAAAAGGTATTTCCATCAACGATGGACTGAGTATCACACACTTGATGTGGAACCGAACATTCGACGGTGAGTCTTTGTCCATGTCCTAGTATGCAATCCTCCGCTAGACAAGGATACCCTTGTGGACAGCAACTGCAGTGTTCCAGTTGTATGTTATAGTTTGTCATGCCTACATGCAATCCAGGAACTAGAGAAGGTTAATAAACCTCCCAAACTCATATTCGAATCTCTGCGTAGTAAATATGGCAAGCTTGTGACAGACACCAGCCAGGTCGCGGCGCAGACACCTCAGTTACCTGCATAAAATGGCTTACAATAATGTTTTGCCTCAGTATATTGCGAGACTCCATTTTTTCACTGTGGAGCGTAAACACTGCCTTGGGGCTAATTGCAGATGATCAGAAAAATTATGGTTTGATGTATTACGTCGGGGCAAAACCGTGTTGTGACACACTGGATTGATCAGCGTCCTGATGGCAATACCCTGGGTTTTATGAGACTCCTCTGGATCGATACGGAAAAGCACCTGGTAATGCGAACAGCTTTGGCGATGAGTCATCACATTGTCGCACTGCTCCCAACTTGTCTTGATGTAACATCGATTGATTCGCCGGCCCAACAGATGAGCAGGGTGCAAGTATCTTCACCTCTCCCACATCAAGCTCACAGCGGTTTGAGTGGGGTGGATAGCGCGTCGGATTTCGTCTAGACTAATTGGCCAATGGGACCTGCATGCATTATTGTCACTTGGTAAGAACTGTGCGACCCTCGTCGCACTTCGCACCACTGCGGATTTCGCCTCCAGTTTTCATTGAACCAGACGGCTATGTGGACCTGAGCGATGTGGTTCCGCCCCAAAGAGGATACGACCATTTCTCTGGTCGCCTCATGTGCTATATCTTTTATCTGGGTCGGTTATTAACGGACGCATGCTTTTATAAGCTAGTCAATAATGTTACGTGGTTATTTGCTATAAACATAAGAAAACAACTACCTGTTTTGACTACATTGTCGCTTGTCTATTCTCCATATGTGTGCAAGCTGCCAGGCGCCTTTCAGTTCCGACGAAATAGGCTGATGTGTGCATCATTTTTTATTCGTGTGCACGTGTAGTTAACCGGCGATTACAAGCTTGACAACGTATCCGACTTCGTGTGTGTAGGTAACCACACCCTCGTAAAAAAATCGATGGTCATCATCTGTGACTAAGTTGTGGCCTTCAAGGTCCACACCTTCTAATGGCGTTAAACTCCTCGTGCTTCTTCGGCTTATACGTGAATCATAACCATCATCAGTACACACCAGCTTTAGTGATAAACACACTTCAACTATTGTGCCGAAATACCTAAATATAAGATATAGGAAAAAACAATATACCAACCACTATGGCGTGCAACAAAAACAGGCAACATTGCTTAGTAACATAGTATGCTTCAAGAGGGCGATCGTTGTTAGAGGGGGAAGATAAGCTGGATGGGGAAGGACAAAGAAACTCACAACACAAACGCCATTGAGGTCGGCTCCTTACCAAATCAACTAGTTTATCCAACCAGATGTGATCCTCCTCCTTCGGACACACTAATCGACACCAACATCGAAGTGAAGGTTTTCATTTTCCTCTTCCAAGTCATCACTTTGTCTCCCCTCCTCCTATTTCAACCGCACTCCCGGCGCGCAAACAATGCACGTCACGGGAGTCGGTGTGCTGGCATGCGCAACACGTGGCCCGGCCATCGAAGCCTGGTGCGTGATAGAATGGTTCAGAGCTGTTCACTAGCCCTTCCTACACCAAATACACAACGCCGAACATGCTCGTTGCTCACGCGGTGTTCCCAGCAGACATGAACTGAGGCAGGGATGACCGAACGTGGCTAACTTCTTTATGTCTGTCGACTTGATGGGCCAAGTTTCGTAAACGTACAAGAGGGTTAAACGGTCGGCTGCATTGTAAACTCTGCTCTTCAGGACGCGAGTGATGTCGCGTCGGGGCCACAGGTGGCGTAGATTGGCAAAAGCACCTCGAGTTATTGCAATGCGGTTTGTTATCTCATCTTCGATTCCGTTGGCGCTGATATAGATGCTTAAATACTTGAATTCCTGAAGGACTTCTAGCTGATCGCCACCAAGGGTCAGCACAGCGGTGGGTCCCCGCCAATCTTGAAGAAAGACTTTGCTTTTCGACGGAGCGAAGCGTAGCCCGAGACGACTGACAGCCAATGCTAATTTGTCCAATGCTACTTGGCACGTTTGAAAGCAGTCCCACATAATGATAATGTCGTCGGCGTACTTCAAGTCAAGCAGTCGAACACATGGGAGCAGCTTCACGCCTTGCAGCTCTTTCTCAGTGAATGCAGTCTCCATAACTTCGCCAATAGCGAAGTTAAAAAGGAAAGGCGACAGCAGGCACGCTTGTCTCACACCGTTGGAGATATTGAAGGGCGACGACATTTTGTCCTAAGCGTTCACTCTTCCCGAACTATGCGAATAAAGCGCTCGGATAATGTTCCCATATTTCCCAAGCACACGTTTTCTGAGTTGACAGACCCAAAGCCCACATCGATCAACCGAATCGAAGGCACCTTTTATGTCCAGGAACAGTGAGTTGCCAATAAACATGGCGGTACTTCAACAACCGACGTAATGTGATGATGTGGTCAATGCAGCCTCGATTTCGACGAAACTCGGCTTGCTCTGGCTTTCATAGGGGTTAGTGACTTTATGAAGAACGACAGAAGCGACAGGGGCAACTGAGATCAGCCTTATCCCTCTATGATTACCGCTTTCGGAATTTGAGCCAACCTTGAACATCGGGACTATTACAGAGTGGCAATTTCCTGCTCCCAAAGCATCACGAGTAACTAGCGTAACTAACCTACAAGAGCAGGTCCCCCGAATTTGAAGAGAGCTGGAGGTATTCTATCCGTTCATGTGGCCTTATTCACTTTCAACAGTCGGATTTCACCTTCGACTTCTACGCGTGAAGGTGGGTACAAGTGGACGGCCCAGGGAGAATGGCGATCAGTTGCCTATGGAGAAGCTAGTAACTCCGGTTGCTTAAGCAGCTTTGCAAAGTGTTCGGCCCAATGCTCCAAACGTTTTGACAAACAGTGGATTGGCCGTCCACCCTCATCGCGTATGGTCCCGCTAACACCAGGTCTCTTGCTGTCCGTTTCTCGTAGTAGACGGAATAACATCTGTTGGTTACGAAGGGCAGCGGCTGCCTCCATCTCCGATGCACGACGAGACCATCAGCGTCGTGGTCTCTCTTCAGGCTAGCACTCAGTTGCGCCCTGAGTTCTTTGCGAGTCTCGTTGTGTTCGCTTCCAGACGGAATGTGTCGGAGAGCATCCAAAAGTTCCAGAGACTGCATAGAGACCCAATGCCCAGCCTGGCAATTTGATTTGTCACATGAAGACATGCCTGCTACTAATATGCTTCGGTGAATATGCGGCAGTGGCCCTCTACTGTGATAAGAAAGCGCTTACTCAGTGTGCATGCCAACATACTCTGATACGCATCCAGAACATCTGACTTCGCCAGCCAGCATGTATCTATGCGCTCATAGCGTCACCGCACGCGCCCACCGAAGCGAATTGTAAGATCAGCACAACCGAGTGCATGATCAGAGTTCACGCTCCTGCTCCAAATTGAGCGACAGTTTTGGATTCAGCGTCTCCAGCAGTAATTTATCACCATGTGGTCCATTTGCTTCCATAGCTGGTTTGCGGCGAGTGGACGCCATGTCATCCTTCTGAGGGTGCTGTGTCGGAAGTTAGTGCTCGCGAGAAATAGACGGGTATCTTCACACAGGTCTAGCAACCGCTCATTACGAGAGCCTACACCATGTTGGACTCCCAGGCGCAGTTCATCAGTGAACAGTTTTCTAACTTAGGCGTTCAGATCGCCAACCAGCATCACAGTTTCCGTATTTTTCTGTAACGAAGGGCGTGTTGGTGATAGAATTCATCTTTCATCGAATCATCATTACAAGTTGTAGGCGCGTAGGCCGCAATGACAGACACCGTTTGTCTACGCGGCTTCGAAGCTCTAAATGAGCCAGCCAGTCTGACGGCACATATCCGGCTGTTCATTGGGATCCAGTCAAACAGGGCAGCTTCAGCCCGGCTTGAGCAGTGTTATGAAGCTGCATCATCGCCAGACAGACGATGAGAACGTGCTGCCAGTGCCGTTTATGGGGGGATCGCTGGACAATCACGGAACTCGCATTCTGCAGGCGGGTTTCCGATAAGCAACAGATGTCGATCGATAGTGTCTCTGACGTTCGGACAAGTGCTACCTGCAACGAATTGCACACGTTGTGGCATGCCAGTCTTAGCTAAGCTCGGGGGCTCCAAAGAGAAACAGTTGAACTGACATTGTCCGCTTGGTTGAACATGGGCTTGTTAACGGGACTGGAGCGACGCCCTGCGATTGCGTTTGAGTTGAAACAAGAAGGTGAGCGTCCATTGTAGCAAGATGGCGGAGGGCCAGGAACTGGAGGTTTGAAAACAGGGGATAAAAATGAAGTTGGTGTGAGACGCTAAGGATGAAAAAGCCGATGAAGGGGAATAATAATACGGAAAGGTTTGAACAGTGGCATCCTCACTCCTTTCTACCCTGCTTGACTCAGCCAATAGGACGCCGTTTTTTATCCCCTGAGACGGCCAGAGCATCAAGAAATCATGTGAAGGGAAGTTCATTGCATTGTATTGTGCGAGCAAGATAATGTCTCGTTGCACAGGCCTAAACAGGAGAACGACTAGGGTTCTCGTGTATACGTGAAAGTCAACGATTGTACTCAGGTGCATCTTATCTATATAGCTCTTGGATACGTGCGAGTGCGGATCAGTCTCGCTCTATGGCCTAACATAACGATGACAGATCTCGCGACGTCAGTGAGAACCCACGCTTCTATGAATCCAAACTGAGACAGACCTGGATAGTCACATTTTGCAGTGGCTGACATTGGACATAATGGTTGGCGGCATTCGATTCCGTACAGCTACATAGGACAGGCACGGAACGCCTGCGCCTACAAAGGGGACCATGGGTGGCTTGCGTCGCAC